GAGAATACTGTAGATTTTGATATGGGTCTTTCTCCATACAAACAGGTTGAAGGATGAGCTAATCAAGAAATTTGTGAATAAATTGAGTTGATAGAAGATGTTGAATCACATGGTATGGATGATACAACAGGATACACATATTCAGGATGGTAAAAGCAAAGGTATGAGTTTAATCCATCTGTTAAAAAAGTTTCTTACTTCTATAATTATATGGGTTTAACATGATTTGTATCACATTGTGGTACCTAAAGTCATTGTAGCATTTGGTATAATGTAATATGTGTGTATGTGTATCAATGTTATCTGGGTGTTTGTGGTATTGTTGTACCTAAAGACACTAGTTTGTTGTGGTAATTGGTGGTACCCTAATCAATGATTAAGTGTGTTTTTGAATTCATGTTTTCAGGTTTTGATCAAATAAATCATCATTCCTTCTCAATCTCACCGGATGGAACTAAGTGGTGGACTCCTGTAGTCGATGAATCTGTGAAACCTGTTATCGGTTATGTGTATCCGTTTTTGTATGTAGTAAGTTTGGGTTGAGATTGAAGAACTCTACATCAAAGAGAAGTGACGAACTCGAATATTAAAAGGACCGGGTGTACAACCTGTGTCAAGTTTCGATTGATGAAAGAAACAACAACGTATGAGTGTTACTGTTTTGAAGAAGAACACAACCATTTTCTTTTGAGGCATCACGATATAGATTTGACTCGAAAAGGACGCCAAATGAAATTTTCATATCAGCGTTTTGTTCATGATGCTGATATCTCAAATACGGGTACCACACAGGCTCATAAGTTCCATACATCTCTGAGGGGAGGGTACAAATATGGTATTCCAACGGTTGTTGATTATCAAAATTATAAAAGGGACTATAACAATGTTGTGGGTCGTGGTGATGCAAAGGTGTTGGTTGATTTTATAACAAAGAAGAGGGATGCATATCATAAAATTTTTCCGAGTACAATTATATTGGTAGTGAGTTGCATACTATTTTCTGGATAGACGAGCTAGCTCGATTCAGTTATTCTGAATTTGGAGATGTAATATTCTTTGATACTGCATTCCATACCAACAGGTACGTATATTGTTGACTCAATTGCGTCATTTTTTTGCCAAAAAAATATTCCAATAGAATGCCTGTATTGTAACTAAATCTGTTATATACAACTTTGTTAAAAGAACAATGAAGGTGATGAGATGACACTGTTAGATGTTTTATATTATATAAAAACTGTATTGGTGAAATAGGGTTTCTAATTTTAAATTGGCATTGAGTTTTGATTATCATATATTAATAAGAAGATGATAAACAAAAGAGAGACGCTATCTATTTGAAAATAAAAAATGAGTTCTAATAGAAGCCCTAAAAAAGAGACGCGATCTATTTGACTATATACATGCGCTTTATAATGGTGGAACATTGTATTATTAAAGAGGGGTTGTGTTCCAGTAGGCAGATAAGTTATGTTGAGAACCGTAAGAAAAGATTATCACCCTTGGATCAATATTAATTGAATGTCAACACTAACAAGGTGCACCGAGATGCACCCTCTAAAATGCAATTCATAGTGGACATGAGATTAAAAGTGATTAAATGTTCAAATTTATTCTTACGCTTCTCATCTTAACTAATTTTCTCGCACAATTATTCGCCTATTAAAAATAACCTTATATTTATTCTGCCACGTAAGTGATTTTGATTTATTTATTAACTTTATGCCAATTTTATATTAATTGTTTGAAAATATATCATTAAACAAATCACAATGGTGGTGCCTGATTGGTTTGCTTGACTCCAAATATCAAAAATGTCTGAAGGTCCCAGGTTCAAATTCAAGTAGGAACAAAAATCTTCTTGTGCCTACAAAGGTTCAAATGCGATGACTTTAGGCTACCTACAAAACACGGTGGTCGTTATGAAATTAGTCAGCTTATATAGCAAGTTAGATATGCAGGATAATAAAAAAAAGGGAAAAGTCCAATAAAACCCTATGAACTTTAGTGTTTTGATTGATTAAGTCCTTGAACTATTTTTTGGAACAAATAAATCATTGGACTTTTGAAAACTTGTTAAATAAATCCTTAAACTTTCTTAAACCTGTTAAATAGGTCCTCATTCTTTAAAAATATAACTTGTAACCTGGGTAACAGGTAAACCAAACAAATTAAAAAAAAGGAAAAGTCTAAAAAAACTCAATGAACTTTAGTGTTTGGAATGATTAATCCTTTGAACAATTTTTTGGAACAAATAAATTCTTGAACATTTTAAAACCTGTTAAATAACTCCTTGAACTTTCTAAAACTTGTTAGATACATCCTTATAACCTATAAAATTGGTTAATGTGATAAAATAATGAAAAAATTCTGACAAAAAACTAATGAACTTTTATATTTTGAATGATTTAGTCCCTAAACATTTTTTTAACCAAAAAAATACTTTAATTTATAAAATGAAACAAATACCATTCTCATTAGCCTTCTCAAAATATACAAAAGCTGTACCCAAAGTATTTTAACAGAAGGAAAAATTTGAGCATTTTACCAAAAGTTGAACCAAAATATATATCAAAAGTCGCACCAAAAAATACAAACAATTGCCCCAAATATACCAAAAGTTGCGCCAAATATACCAACTATTGTGGTATATTTTTGGTATATTTGGCGCAATTTTTGGTATATTTTTGGTATATTTTTGGCGCAACTTTTGGTATATTTTTGGCGCAACTTT